CTCCTAATATTCTGTGATTCTGTGAAAATGGTGAGTAATTTATGGATGGGTTCAAATTTGTTGTATATTGTCAGTTTATGGCCACAAAAATTATAAACCTCAGGTTAGCAATGGATGCCATCTGTTATATCTAAGGTAACAGTATGAGTATGAAAGCATTTGTCTATGAAACAATGCTGCAACTTTTAAAATCTCCTCATCATTTTTTAGAATCATGTTATTAAAGGATGGAGGATTGAGAATAGCCAATGTGACCAAAGTTGATGCTGGAAGCTACACGTGCCTGGCCACAAACCAGTTTGGAACTGCCAGTGGCTCAACAAACTTAATAGTTACAGGTAGGTGAGCCGAAATGTGGTCTGTGAGGTGGTATAAATAGAGCTGTAAACTCCAATACAGAAATCTGTAATGATGTGGAGTCTGAGTTTGCTTACTGAAAAAATGCTAAATGTGGTGGAAAGTAGAAAAGTGGAAAGAGAAGTTACATATTTAACAATATATAAAGATAGAAGGGTATTTGTTATAGATCTTTCATTAGTTGAAAGAGACCGAGGGGTTTGCTCTCTTTGACCAAGATAATCCTCCATGGCAAGGGAGTTCTGAACACTTTCCTCCCTTCTCTCAGTTATCTAAGTACTAACTAATGCAGTTACACTTTTAAGTTTGCTTTTGTTTTGTTCTTTTTTAATTTGTAGGGGAAAAGATCATGGCAATTAAAAAATATTTGAGGTAATTTTATATTCCAATCCACAGTCTGTTAAGCCCTAAGGAACTATATGCTGTTTGCTTATTGAATAAGATGTGGCAGAAGCTCCAGCTGCAAGATTGTTGAGAGATTCCACAGGCAGTAAAATCTTTCAGAAGCTAATTGAATACATAATTGCCATTAAAAGGGTTTTTGCCCCATCCTTTCAGTCATCCATTCCTAGCTGCCATCTGAGATACTGGATTAAAAGGACAACTGGTCTGTGAAGTTTAGCTAAAGACTGTCTTTTCTCCTGATGTTATTTTTTTAAAGATTGGAATATCTGAAAGATTTTTCCAAACTCAGAATTATCTAATATCCTACTGCATTACATACCCTATATATCTCATAGATCCAAACAGAATTATTTTGAATTAACAGCTTCATATTTTCAGTCTGTCCTCCCAAATGATTCATGCTCCTTTATATACACATAATAGAATTATATGCAAAGGATTTCTAGAATGAAATTTTATTTTTACAGTATTTACAGTACTTGAAATTTTTCTCTGTTAGTGCGATTGTGGAATAACGAAGAGCTATTCTTGATGACACTATGTTGTATATGATACATGGACCCAAATACCCATTGCATTCTACCCTGTGTGGATTTCCTCTAGTTTCCCGATTTTATTAGCTCCTTCTCTCACTACCACTTCTTAATCTTCCCAGTGGCTGCTACTACAGCTTCCTGCTCCAAAACATAAGTGTAATTGGTAAGAACCAAACACGCTCTTGAATGGTAATTTCATTGCTGTGGGTTGCAGTGCATTTAGCTCTGTGAAGTATATTGGCCTGTTCACAGCAGGTTACAATTTACCTTTTCAGTGTCAAGTAGCTCCCACTGGTAAATGTGCAAGGACACAAAGCTCCTACAAGAGGGGTCAGGCAGTAGCATTTATAGTCCAGCTGCATAATTTGAAGTGACTGTCATTAATCAGATTTGAAGAACATGGTGGACTATTAGTAGCAAGCAAAGCTTAGCATTTCAGGAATTCAATAACAGATATTTCTGCTCTCAACAGAGCCAACCAGGATTACTTTGGCACCTTCCAACATGGATGTTGCTGTCGGAGAAAGCGTCGTCTTGCCTTGCCAGGTTCAGCATGATCCGATACTGGACATCAGCTTCACCTGGTATTTCAATGGAACACTCACCGATTTCAAGAAAGATGCCTCTCATTTTGAGAAGGTTGGAGGGGTGAGTTACAAACATCATCTCTTCACAGACAGACTTACTTTTTTTTTCAACATGGTAAAATCAGGATGTTTTTTCTCTTTTGAGCATGTAGAATTTTCTTCTGTGTTGGAGGGAAATCATTCATTGAGCTACCTTGCTGCCCATAGCCCATTGTACAGACACCTTTCAGTTTAGACGTGAAGTACTGTAAGTTCCTACCTCTGTTTCTGCATCTGCCCCTACATCATTTTCCCCAAGATCACATGAAACATAGGAATGACAGATTAAGGAACTTGATACAGATTTTGTGAGCTTCAGCCTAAATCTGAACAAAACCATCCCATCTCTCCTTATTTCTCCTGCATTTGTATCACCAGTATAGCCCTCAGTGTTCTGCCTGAGCCTCCTGGGGTGAGAAGTCATATATCTCATTAAATATTTCCTCTGCAGGATGCAGAGGTGCTGCTGGGGGTGGGGGGTGGTGACATCAATGCTTTTTAGAGTTTAGCCTTCTGATCAAAACATGAAAAGTAAAGCATTAAGATGGATGAAGGATGTATCAAGAGAAATAAATCAATTACAGCAAAAGGCCTTATTACAGTGCAAGCCAAGGCCAAGTGGTAACAAAAAGAACAGCTGAGCATCAGCATAAAACTGGCCGTTGTAAGCCTTCATAAAGTTTCCTTTCACATATTCTTGCCAGATCTCCTGCTCCAGAGAAATAGTTGTGGGTTAGACACTACTGCCTGTGAAACTGTGACATTTCAGCACCTAAATTTTTTCCTGTTGCATGTAAAACCCTAAAAGATTGAACATCTAATCAGTAGGCACCAAACTCCCAGATTGTTCTGCAGTTTGCAATTGATTAAATACAAGTGCATGTGGAGATGATGAGATTCCCTTGTAGGAGCCATGAGATATTCATGTATCGTGTACATTTTCACTGAAATGTTTTGAGAATTACAAACTGACCATCTGTCATGCTGTAATGGGAATGCTCCGATTTCATAGCCCGTTACCTTCCAGTATTGCTACATGGGCTTTATTTATTTAGTAATATTTTCCCCCAGCTGTACTCCAGTTGTATATACAAATAGTAATATTAGAAAGGAAAGGTTAAAAACATACCAAAACCTGAATCTGACAGTTTTACTGGCTCAATTAAGGCTTCATAAGCTGATTTAAAAATGCAGTGTGTTTTTCTCACTAAAAATTCCAGCTTTTTCCTAAAACAAACACAGGCATAATTCCAAATCAAAGCCTTGTTTAGGTGTCTGTTTTGGTTCTCTTCCTCTGAGGGAAAAGGCATCAAAAAGTAGTGTTTTACTAAGAAAAGCTCAGTCGGTGCTGAGCAGAAATGCAGGGTAACTCAGGCCTAACCTAGAACTCTGAATCTAGAACATTTTATTTTTGAAGTTTGTCATAAGGGACAGAATTAGGAGTTTGTATCTAATATAGGCATTTAGGGATTTTTTTTTAAACTCTTACTTGCGTCAAGAGGGTTTAAAGCTCATTAGTAGAAAACTTCAGAGGTTACCAAGAGATCTACAGAAACAATTTATGGACTCTGTATTACATTAAGGTCAGTGAAACAATTTCAGATGGAGTTACATGTGGGTCATGGTAAGTAAATAAGACAGCATAAATATGCTCTATGCCTTCCAATACTTGCAGTGTGTATTTATTAAATGTAAATATCTGTGCAAAAATAACTTCAGCTTTCTTGGTTGTAAACATGGCCAAAGGAAAATAATTTTCCAATAGATGGATTTCTGTGTAATGATGTCTTGAAAGACCCTATCATGCATGCCTGAGGTCTCCAACATGTAGTAGTTAGTGGGAACGTTATGGGACCACCACCTGGTCTTCCAGATGGTTAGAAAAATATAGGATGTAACACTTACTGCTCTTTGTTTTTGTTAGACAGATGATTTATATGAAGAGTATGGCAACCCAAGCAGATTCCAAAATTTTGAACAGATTGCCTCTAAACTGTTTCGGGTATCACCTGCTTGTAGAGCCCAGCAATGGCTGAGGTTGTTATGCAGTCAGGAGAGGCAAAACCAATTTCAGCAGCTGTTCATACGGCATTGGCTACTGTTTATTTGTATTCTGTGTAGCATGGAGAAAGAAAGGTGACCTTGCTGTCACCTGGACATGTCCACGCTGACAAAGGTTTAATCTGGTGAGGCAGGAGTGTGGTACTGCTGATGGTCTGCAGAGCCATGGGAGGTGAGGGTGCCTTCTACATTGGAGCCTTTGGCTGCTGCAGGTTTCTGTGTTTTCCTCAGTACTCTGGGATTCTTCCTCAAAATATCCACAAATAATTTAAATGCAGAATTAATTTTTCAGTGGTTTTTATTTAAAGTAAAATTACTCTATCCAACAGTCCCCTTTGTTGAGATGTTTTAAATTTAGTCTTACATGTTCGTATAGAACATGATTTGCTTGTGACTGTGCATTGCTGATCTTGGTCATTTCTTGAATATCCACTTCCAACCAACTAGATGGACTTCAGACTGGCTTCAACTCAGCTTCTTGTGTATTGTAGGCAATCGGTGCTGAATTGTCCTGCATTTGCTTATGTCTGTGCGTTCATAGAAGACTGGGTGTTGTGTTTATATCATGGAAGCAGGCAGAATTGGTTTTAGCTTGTGCAGAATAAAGAAGTGAGATACAATGCTGACCCAGCAATTCCTCTATGGATGTTGGCCCTCCTGTTGACATCCGTGGTCTAGACTCAAGCTCTAAAAGAAGTACCTGTGACAAAAATGGCACAACTGATCAGTATTTTGTGTTACACATTTATTTTAAATAATGATAGTCTTCGTGAAAACAAATCATTTTTGAAATACAGGGATCAAATCAGAAATAATGGGTGTAAGCATAAAACAAAACAGAAAACTATCAAAGGGCTGGAAAGGTTGTTCTTTGCTAAGACTAAAATAAAATCCCAAACTGCTGTGCATCCAAGAATCAGTCATCTGGCCAGAGTAGCTGAAAACACCCACAACATGGGGTTCTGTGCTCAAATGAAATGCTGCTTCTGCAGAATTTTTTTTTAAATTGAAATCTGACAGATTTTTCATCTGGACAATGAGATGTGAACTGGGTTAAAGCAGTAATTCAGTGGACACAAAGAGGCGATGTTTTGAAGTGACACTTGCTGCCAGACATTTACCATCAAGTTCTCCACTCAGTGATGTAGAAAACAAATAGTATATGAGGAGTCCTAACGTGATACGGAGTTACCTTTACCAGTCGGGTGTTTTGTGTGTTTCCCTTGATTCAGGAGTTCAACCACCTGCTATGACATGAGAGAGAGACCAATGGGGAAAAAATGACCAAAGATTAAATACTGAATGAAGAAAAAAGAAAAGAACATAGACTTTTAAAATGGGGAACTTACCCTGAATCCTGCAACCTTTAAATGAAAGTGTGCTCTCAATAACCTGCAAAATGGACCAAATTCAGCTTTATCATTTACACATTTGAACTCCTTAAAAATCTGTGATAACTAGACTTAGAAATTCTGTCTAGGAGCCAAATTGGTTGATGACCTTAGAAACCATCCTTCTTAGAGCTTTGGGAGAAATGGTTGGTCACAGTGCACTGACTTTCCTCACAGTTCCTAATAGCAGTCAGGAGGTACATTCCTAGTAGGAGCTCACCACTTTGTAGCTTACTGCTCCCGCAAAAGAGGGACACTACTTCACATTTATTAGGAAATGGCTTAACAGGCAATGGCCATGGAGCAGCTGATGGATAATAATGTGCTACCCTGCAGGCTGCCTGCCAGTGCAATTTCTGAGCAACTTTATCCCTAACGTTTTTTGGTTGATTACTTTTCCATTTACAAATACAATCTTAATATTAAATTACAAGGTAGTAACATTTAGAGTCATAAAAGAACTTTGTGTTTCAACAGAGTGCATCAGGAGATTTAATGATTAGAAACATCCAGCTGAAACACAGTGGAAAATATGTTTGTATGGTGAAGACTGAAGTGGATAGTGTAGCATCTGCAGCGGACCTTATCGTGCGAGGTAAATTTCAGCTTCAGTTACTATGAAATCATGTTCTTTAACTTTTGTGTACTGTAAATTACAGAAACAACTGATACTGTAGGTTACAAAACTCAGTTCATCTATGACTTGAATTATGTGATTCTGCCTTACAGTTAGGGAAAATTTTAGCTCAATTTCTGGATAAAGCTTAATTTTTCACAGAAAAAATTAAAGGCTGAGGAACATCATAAATCTTGACTTCCTATCTTTACTCACTGACAGTCCTTCAAGTCCCTGATGAGAGGGAGTTAGAGTTATTTCAACCCCCTTTGCTGGTGCAGATGAGACAAAACCCAGCATTTTTGCCAGGATACCCAGCATCAGCATTTTCCAGAAGGCAGCAGAAAGCTTCCCTGACTGCACTGCTGCTCGGGGTGCTGATCAGATGTTGTGCTGAAAAATTGGTACAGTGCACTGTACAGTAACACAGCTGTAGATAACAAATTCGCAGACTACAGAGATGTATTAGTAGATTAAAAGAGGACATTTAGGACTAAAATAAAAGACGCTGGAAAGATAGAGGGATCATGCTGAACAAAGGTTCTTAAAACAAACGAACAGTTGAGTATTTCAGAATTAGATTATCAGACTTTAGTTTAGTGAATGTAAAACAATAATTACAAGTGTTCTTATTCCAAGATGAATTGTTTTCTTCTTCCCTGATAAAATGGGGATCCGTACTGCTATGGTAGTGTTTTCCAGGGGACTAGCTTTACAAAACCCTGTTTTTCAATCTGATTCTAGGCTCACCTGGGCCCCCCGAACATGTGAAGGTGGATGAAATAACAGATACCACAGCTCAGATCTCCTGGCAAGAAGGCACAGATAATCACAGCCCAGTAACCACTTACACCATACAAGCAAGGACACCCTTTTCAGTTGGCTGGCAGCGAGTTACAACAGGTAAACCACAGTTCTTATTACAGGCTCTGTCAAAATGTTTTTTGACCAGGGACACCATGTTCTTAATTTCCATTTTTTCTTTCTTTTTTGTTTTTAATAGTTCCAGATGTGATCGATGGAAAAACATTCACAACCACAGTAGTGGATTTAAATCCTTGGGTTGAATATGAATTTCGTGTAGTTGCCAGTAACAAAATAGGAGGTGGAGAACCTAGTTTGCCCTCAGAAAAAGTAAGAACTGAAGAGGCAGGTTAGTGGGTTCTTCTATTTGTTTTTAATTCAAGAATCTTGAATAGTAACAAAAAAGCAGCATTCATATCATTGGCTTTTTGCAGACAAGCTTGGAATTGCCATTGAATATAAAAGCCCATAACTGGTTTGTTCATGATGTGTCCATTTATCTGTGGGACCCTTTGTGTTGCATTACTGATCATCACAGAAGCATAACAGCTGAATACATTTGAACTGTATCTAGTGTGCCAAAGTCTGTCAGTTCAGGCAGTGCTGCAGCGTCTGAAGGTATTAATGGATGGAAAGAGGTTAATTTTGACAGGGTTTTTCATTCCTAGTGTTTGATCAGTGTACTCCTTCTATGCAACAAGCATGTGGCTCAAAATAAGGCATCAGTCCAACCCCAGGAGGTCATTTGGAATGAAGCCATTGCCCAATACATCTGCATAAGTTAGCCCTATTAAAAAAAAAGTAAAGCATGCTTCCAGTTTTCAGAAGTTCATAAGCATTGGCACACACAGGTCAGTCTGTGAACTAGTGAGGTTCTTCAAGCGCTCAGAAAAACATCAGCCTGCCACAGCAATGGACAGCAGAGAGGTGACTGAAGGAGGGGGCTGCGGCTTTTCAGGACACCCACCCTGCTTCAGGAGCATTTACCTGAGGTTGCAAAAGCCATGAGAATACAACCGGGTCAGCACCAGTGCTCAAGGTTTACGTTGTATGATATTGTTTCTTGTATCTGCACTGTGTAGACAGCTATGCGTTTCCTTTTCACAGTTCCCGAAATTCCCCCCTCTGAAGTCAGTGGGGGAGGAGGCAGCAGGTCTGAACTGGTCATAACATGGGATGTAAGTTTTCTGGCAAGCAATTTTCTTCAGAGAATGATTGTTTTCATTCAAACTCTTCTTAAAAGATGAATTTCCCTGGCTGCAGCAGCTTCTCAACTAGGATGTATATGTGCTCGGTAACATTCTGTAATGTGACCTATGCACGTTTGCCTTCCCCCTTTCGTGTGTTACTGTGCTAGATGGCAATCAGTAGGACATCTAGTTCATTTTGTCTGAGATTGTTTCTGTTCACAAACGAATATTAACGCTAAGAAGGGGGCAGGAGGGTGGGGGAAGAAAACGGGTTATTGCTCTAAGGTTGAGAATTACGCTCCAAGAATTATGCTTTTAAGTGCAAATTTGCAGTCCTTGCTTTTCTACCATTAACTCTGTATGCATATGCTGGCCAGTACAGTCAGTTATTTATATTACATATTCCGTTTTTATTGAGTTAGAAGATGTTAACATACTAGCATAGACTATTCTGTGTGGTTCTCTAATCCTAATCACCTCAGAGGAAGGTATAAGCCACTGTACAAAGGTAGAACTGGATTCTGTAATAGCTGACTAAGCAGTTAATCATTTTTTATGAACTATGGATTGTGAAATTTTTTTAAAAAACTGTCTTTACCAAAGAGTGTCTTAAAACAGCATACTTAGTGGAAAGCAAGGAATATACCTGAAAGTGTTTTGTGCTTGATGCACAAACCTTAAAATAGGTTCAGAAGAACATGTTTTGCTCTGCCGTACCAGACCTAATTTGCTGATGGCATGATCCCAAATGCATGGTTACCATCACGTACACTAGTCTGTCGGTACTTTCTTCCAGCAAAATGTCTCCAGTGCTACATGTTGCATCACAGACTTCTGTTGTCTGTTGCTTTTCTCACAGCCCATCCCCGAAGAATTGCAAAACGGAGAAGGATTTGGCTATGTTGTTGCTTTCCGCCCCTTTGGCACCACAACGTGGATACAGACAGTGGTCACCTCTCCTGACACACCAAGATACGTCTTTCGGAATGAAAGCATCTTGCCCTTTTCACCGTATGAAGTCAAAGTTGGTGTCTATAACAACAAAGGAGAAGGGCCGTTTAGTTCAGTAACCACAGTTTTTTCAGCGGAAGAAGGTATGTGATCGAGTTATCTCCGGACTGATTGAGTTACCTTCAGATATTTAACGTGAGAGGTTTTATCAGACAATATAGCATATTATACAGTTAACAGAAATGAGATCACTTTGAATATGGACGTGTTTATTTCCACAGTCACCAATGCTGCTGCTCTCTCATTTATTGATTTCCAAATACAGAGCCCAGCACAGCACCCTCCGGCGTGTCTGCGACGAGTCTGTCATCCTCAGTCATCGAGGTCTCCTGGACAGCCATTCCCTGGAAGATGAGTAGTGGAAGGTTGCTGGGCTATGAGGTAAGTCCATTCAAAATACACTCCCAGTTGCAAATGGCCATGAGCCAGAACCGTTGTGCAGGACAGCGGCATAAATTTACCAAAGATTGCCACTTATCTTGCTTTCTTCCTGCCCACCCTATACCCAGAAGGATATTTTCTTCTAAGTGTTTTTGAAAACAAAGAATACAGAGTGAAATTGTGTTTTGCTTCCTCTGCTGATAGTCATGTGTCCATCTAACAGTATTTTCAAACTGACATATTTTTTAAGAATTACATTTACTTCCAAAGAAACTATTCTGTAAGGTACGGTTTTGTGAGTTTAACTTGTTTACTTTTTAGATGAAGTAATGGTTTTCCTCTTGTCATTTTTTAATTCAAGCAAAATCTAATATCTCAGTTTCCTTTTTCCTACAGTCACACTAAAAAGAGCAGCAGGATTGAAAGGCAGATGGATAAGAATTTTTTTTACATAGTAAACATATTTTTGAAACTTTAATGTATTTGTAGCTTTTTCAGCTGAGGAAAAAAAGTCCACTTAAAGGAGGCAAATGCAATGCTGTGGGTGAACAGTCCATTCCATGCAAGACTTTAAATGATTTTGTTTTATATCTACTAGGTTAGGTACTGGAATAATGGTGGAAAAGAAGAATCTTCAAACAGAGTAAAAGCTGCAGGGAATGAGACATCAATAAGAATAACAGGTTTGAAGAGCAACTTAGCATACTACACAGCTGTCCGTGCTTATAACAGCGCTGGAGCAGGTCCCTTTAGTGCCACAGTAAATGCTACCACAAAAAAGACACGTAAGTATCTTGAATTTAAAGTGGGGAGAGACATAATGGTGTGTTAGCATTTGCAGGGAAATGAAAAATAGACGCATTACTGGGAATCACAGTATGCATGAACGCCCTGAATTTCCTTACAGACTAGAGGAGTTACGCAATTAAATCGAGCATAGATCCTCCACTTTCTACCCTCTGCTACTTCAG